GTTAGAAACCACACACACATCCATTCTCTGTTTCAGATGGTTAAAGTGAATTTCCAGGACCCAACAGAAACATCTTATATTAGAAACCTAATTTTTCTGCTGAATTACCCAGATGTCAGATATATATGTACTTTAGACTTAAATGTGGTCACAATGAAGTGCCTCACCTAGACTCTCTGCTTTAGGCATTACTGGACGATGCTACTTCTCCTCCCTCTGAGGTCAAGCTATAAGGAGGGTTATTGGAATTCCCACCTCTTTGACTTTTCATTGTTTCACGGATCATGACTTTCTTACAAAGAGCATTTACCCAAGACTCAGTTTTCAAGGCCCACATCTGCAGTGGGCCTCAGATTATAATCCATAGCCACCTTCGTTTTCCTGTTTAACCAGACAGGGTAGTCACCACAAGAATGGTTCTTATCAACAACTCCCTGAGTGCCAGCATCTGGCCTAAGTCTTAGGAGTGGATGTGCTTTTGTTTTACTCTAAGTTGAAGTTAATCATTTAATATAATGAAAATCAGGGCCTCTGATGATATTACTTGAACCTCCTAATTTCTCTAACTGCCTCTGCTTTTGCAAACTATCCCTCACCTGCCTCTAGAACATTTTACTTTTTGAACATTTTGCCCTAAAACCCACCGCATGCATCTACAGAATTTGGTGCATGCTCCTTAGTGTGGCCTGGGAGAGAAGTTGTGCAGTGTACCAGGTAAGATCATAGGTTGGAGCCGGACAGCCTGGGCAGAACCCTGCTCCCCCATCAAACAGCTGAGCCACCACGGGCAGCTCCCTCAAAGTCAGCCTCAGTTTCTTCTTCATTTGCTGTGGATAAAACAAAAGCCACTGTCTGAGTACACTGTTGTGTGGATTAAATGTGTTCATTCACATAAAACACACAGAATAGTATGTGGATGTAGCAAACGCCTCCAAATATTGACTCTTGTCATTATCACTGTTATTCTTGTCCAATACTACTGAATATTAAATGCATTTAATAAAGAGATCTTCCAAACAGGCTTTGTATGGGCAACAAGGCCATATTATTTCTCACTTGGGTGCAAGCGGGCCAAATCTGAGAAAGGACGGGCAAAGGGGGTAAGGTGAGAATTGGCTTTATAGGTTGGGGTAGTTTTTTGGGGGGCAGGGGTGTTGCAGAGTAAGATCAATTACAGTGGTGGGAGGTAGGGGCAAGGAGTATACATGACCACAAGTTCAGTTACAATGGCCGGTGGGAATGAGGCAGAAAAGCACTTAAGATGGCAGGATGGGTAAGAGGTATTCACATTATCATAAGAACAGTTAAGATGGAAGGGTTGGGTGAGGGGCTTGTCCAGAGAAGCTGGGCAATCAGGGACAATGGCGAACACAGGTGGGGATGGGTGGTGGGGTGGTAGGAGAACATCAGCAAGGCAAGCAGGACTTCAGAGTTTCAGGCTCCAGTCTTGCATATGGAGATCTGACAATCACTACTGTTAATAATATTGTTATTTATTATCTGGTCTTCTGTGATCCAGGCACAGCCTCCAATGCCCTGACTCCATGCCATAGCATTAAGATGTGCCTTTGCACACCAACTGTTTCCTATGCCTGGATACCTTGCCCTCCATTCTGCTCATTGTCTCTGCTCTCCAGAGAACCTCTGCTCACCCTTGAAGCCCCAGGGCAAATATCTCCTCTTCTTTGATGTTTTTCTCCCTCCTGTAGGGAGAAGAACTGGTTCTCTCCACTGGGTTCTCATAGTCCTGTGATGCCCCTGGGGTCTGGTATGCAGCACATGCTGTTGTTAGGTGGTTTGCCCCCCACCTGGCAGGTGAAGACAACTAAGGTTCCCTTTGCCTCTAAACTCTGAATTTCTTAAAGGGAGGCACTAGTCTTACTGCGTTCATCCCAGTTCCTCCCAGTACCAGCCACACTGAGAAGGATTTGGTAAATGTTTACTGAACAAATAGCTATTTGTTGCCTTCTTTGTAGTCTTAAATACAGGGTTTTCTCTTTTGTTTTTTGCTGTTCACAATGCATTACTAAATTTATGGCGAGAAAGATAAATCTCAGTAGTTTGAAAGGCTGGCTGAAGTGATTGTATCTAACACCATAGTCATTTGGCTCTGTCGGCTGTTTTTTTATCAGTCATTTAAAAAGCCTGTCACAGGATAGTTATAGAGACAAGAGATCATCATTTAAATCACAGTTGTTTTCAACCCTTCCACAGTTTTGGTCTACAATTTAATGATGAGAAAAATACATCTAGCAAGTAAATATTTAACTAAACATGTTGGTACTTGACCTGAATACAGGGAGTAAGATGGAAATTTCAAATGTGAAGTTGCAGTTTAAACAGGCATATGCCCTCATATTACTAGTAGAAATTAATGTTGTACTTTGATTAGGTAATAACCAAGTTTTCTCTAATTATAGATACCTTATTGAAAGATCAGTGAGTGAGTGTCATGAGTATAGTCTAGGAGAGAATGCTTGCTTTGGATAAGAGCGCTTGTTTTGCCCAAAGTGTTCCATATTCCCATTTTTTCTCATATGCTGCTTCAGCTCATTTAGATTCTAAAGAGCACAGCCCCACTTAAGCTAGCAAGAGCTTAGGGGAGCTTTTGATAAGCATTAACACAAGAGAGAATGAAGACAGAAATCTCAGGGATCCAAGAGCAGGAGCTGCACTGGAGCCTGGCCTCAGTGGATCACCCGAAGGTGATCAGGACTGGCTCTCCCTACTGTGTGCCTTTCGTGTGCTGTGTGCATTCTCTCTTTCAAGTCTCCATTCCTTTTGCTCCACATTCTCATCTGTACTTCCTCTGCTTATTCGTGGTTTCTGCTTTCTTGTGATACTAGCACAGGCGTGGCTTCCAATTAGCTGCTTTCCTTGCTCCACCCATGACATCTTTACATTTTGTTACCTCTGTGCTAACTTGTCACCTCCTCTCTAAGGACTGTCAGTCATCCTCCTGGGGAAGGCATCCTCATTGGTCAGCTCCATTTTTGGTAGCAGGCTCAGGTTGCTGAACTCCTGAGTTGCGTATCTTCTACGTGTTTTACATTGTCTAGTCAGTTGTGGCCCTGGGGATGAAGCAGGCTTAGGTAATATGGTTGCCTAGAAAAGAGCTGCAAACTCAGGCCAGGTGAGATGGCTCACACCTGTAATCCCAGCACTTTGGAAAGCCTAGGCAGGAGGATTGCTTGAGGCCAGGAATTTGAGACTGGTCTGGGCAACATAGTGAGACCTTGTCACTTTATTACAAATAACAAATTAAAAAAAGAAAGGTTGCAAATTCAAATGCTATAGGATCCAGGTAGGTTATATAAGTGAACAAAAGCAGCTGGGTGTGAGATGCAGATACACGTTTGCATATTAACACAGAGTTGAGTGGTGTGTAAAGGTATAGATTTTTTGAGTAAGATGGCTAAGGCTCACTACAACTTGGAAGAAATTACTTTATCTCTCTATGCCTTGGTTCCCTCTCTGTAGAGTGGTTATGAGGATTAAATGAGTTAATAAAGTTTTTTAAATGGTACCCGGCATGTAATAAACATGATGTACTTTTAAAGAAAATTTTCATTAGCATCACCATTCATATCCTTGTTTAGTTCTGCAATGAAATGGGCTTTCTCCCATTTTTCCTAAAACTTGAAGCTGCCTTCATCTATTTAGTTTTCCCCCTTTATAAGGCTATGAGCAAAGACAAAAATTTCTTAATTGTGAGGGTATCAATAGAGCAATAAAAATGGAAACTGGCAATTGTCCTCATTGAGGTGCAGGCATCAGGGCAGGGTGGGCACCGCCTTGCATGGTTTCTCTCTGAAAGATGGAGCCTCATGAAATAGAGCAGTTGGCTGGGATGTCAGAAAGAAGCCCAGGGTCAGTTAGGTCAGAAATGAACCTATGAACTGACTATTATGTCTATCAGTTCACTGATTTTTTTTTTTTTTTTTTTTTTTTTTTTTGAGATGGAATCTTGCTCCATTGCCCAAGCTGGACTATAGTGGCACAATCTCAGCTTACTGCATCCTCCACCCGCCTGGGTTCAAGCAATTCTCCTGTCTCAGCCTCCTGAGTAGCTGGGACTGCAGGCACCTTCCACCACGCTGGGCTAATTTTTGTAATGTTTACTAGAGATGGGGTTTCACCATATTGGTCAGGCTGGTCTGAAACTCCTGACCTCAGGTGATCCACCTGCTTCGGCCTCCCAAAGTGCTGGGATTACAGGCATGAGCCACTGTGCATGGCCCCATTGATCTTTCTTACAAGGAGGTCAGATTATGTTTGGAACTTTTTATTACTCAATAAAACATACCTATAGGCTGGATACACACAGCATTCAAGCTAGTGACCTCTCAGGCTGCTCCTTTAGGAAGAGAGTGTGGGCAGGGCTGGCCTCTCAGAAGAGGCTGCAAGTAGACCTTCTTACATAGATAAATTAGAAAATTGTACTCCCAGTGAAGAATAGCACCATGAACTTCTCTCAATGTATGACACAAGGTACAAGACACTCCTACCCTCATGGTTAGCTTAGTGTGTATTTCCAAGAAAAAACAATTGTGATTTTAAAAAATGTTTTTTTCCTTAGGAAGAACAAATGAAAATGATGTCATTTTTTTTAGTTCAGATATGTAACTCCACTAAGTGTTTTAACTGCCTTCCCCAAAAGTGGTTCTTGATTTAGAAAATCTAGTGGTCCACTGATTTAGAAGGCAGAAGGGAAGGAGCAGACTTTGGGGGAATAATGAGATTTCCTATATCTGTAATACTGTTGATTTACCCAATGTGCAAACGATCCAGAATGTGAGATGGAATGTACTTGGGCCTGATGCGGCTGTTAGAAGTTAGTACTTAAACATTCCATTTCAAATATTCTCATTAAGGGTAATAGCAGAAAATTGCAGCAGAGATTAAGTAGTTTTTAAGTGGTGATCCCCTCTGTAGAACTGTTGATTTGTTTAGTTAATGCTAATTTATTTAATATACTTCTACTTTTTGTTGATTTTTAGGTCTGTTGCCGCAGTTATTGGGAGTTGCCCCAGAGAAGGCCATAAAACTTACAGTAAGTCTTTTGAGTTAGTGCTTCTTATTAAGGGATTTTGCACATACTCAAGAATCTAGCAGGTATTCTTATAGGAAAGAGCAGGTTTGTTTGCTCAGAGGTGCTAGCTAATTTGAAAGCAGGGGAACTCACCACACGCAGTTTTTCATTATTCTCCATTTAGCATTGAACCTCCAAAAATGTGATAATAAACCTGAAAACTTTTTGTGGTTGCTGCTATCATTGTTATCATCACAGCAGCAGCAGCTAATTTCCATTCAGTATCTACCGTATTAGGCACATGACATATATTACCTCTTACTGGTTTAATCTCAAGCAAAGTATGATCCACAGTTTACAGATAAGGATCGTGAGGCCTACTGGGCTTAAATAGCCTACCTGTGTTCACACAAATCATGAGTGGGCAAACTAGAATTTAAAGTCAAACCTGTCTGACTCTAGACATGTCTTTCTATTATACCTGCTCTTCTATACGATTCATGGTTGTGGTGTGTTCTATAAAACCAAATGTTGAGGGATCTGGGTTCTAGTTGAAGTTGATCCTTCATCAGATTATTTGCCCAGTGCCTGGCTCACATTTGACAGATGGTTGATACTCAGTTTAGGTGTTTGTGGAATATACAAATATTTGCATCTCTAAGGCCATAAAGCCCCAGAAAGTAAAACTCTAGCTTTAGATTGGGCTGTGTAGCTTTGGAGCTTGAAATTCTTATTTTACCATTTTATTATGTGACCTTGGGATAGCTAATCTTCTCTGATGCATGTCTGCCAAGAAGATATGACTGTTTCTTAAAATTTCTACTAGGACATACCATTTTAAGAGTATATTATATTAATTAATTAATGTAATTTATGTTCTTTGAGAATCTTGAGGAATTTTTAGATACTGAATTTCTTCTAAGCTGAAAAAATCTGCTCAGCCAAATTTATCTCCATGATGAGTATTATTTTAGATTAATTCTTGTTAGAAGACTTGAAAGTGATTTTTAATCAAGGCTTATAAAACAGGTTGTAAGATACATGTTTTTGTTTTGTCACTGTTGTCAGTATGTCTCCCTTCTTAAGCTATTGTAATTGCGGAACATATCTTTGGCTTGTAAGCCATTTATCTTTTAATTTTTTCTCCTGAAACATCAGTGATGTATGTACATTTTTAATTTTTTTAAACTGTATTATGCTATTAAGAGTACTTCTCAAACTAAAGATCTTTTAATTTGTGCAGTTTATGATTATTCCAATAGACTGATAGAAAAAAATAGCATATATTGACAGATACCTATTTATAAGTGTTTAATGACTTTCTTTATATTTTTCATCAGCTTCTATAAATATTTTTCTTCAAGGTGAATGATTTTGTGAGGGATAAATTTATGCACAAAGATGGTTCGGTCCCACTTGCAGCAGAAATTCTTGCTGGAGGCTGTGTAAGTACCTTTTGCAGATCTCTACACTGAAAAGACTTGCTTCACATATGTATCACTGCCATGGTCAACAGGTGTGGACTAAGGCTTCTGTTTAACCACAGATCCTGCACAAGGGCAGAGTCTACTAGGGCACCTCGGCTTTTCCTAGACAGGCGAACCATTCCAGAAGTAGAAGGGTAAATGTTTCTGATCTTACTGCCTGTTAAATCATGCCTATTAAATTCATCATTGCTTGTGGTTTGTTCTGCAATAGAAGTCATTTATGGCAGAAGTGTTTGGCCTTTCAAAAATCTTTGCTAACGTTTTCTAAAGTTAATTTTTAGTACATTCTTTCCTCATGGCACCCTCTGCTGGGTCAGGCACTAAAATTTGTAGTTTAAAGTCAGCAACCATAGCTCTCTGCTTGGCTTTGCCTTACAAGTGGCAGCAACTGTTCAAGCTTCCACTGCTCTTGGGAGAACAATGCTGGGAAATAACTGGCTGAGTGTGCTCTGCATTGTCAAAAACGCTTGGCATGATTGTTTCCTTATATGGATGAACAACCTGCATCTTGTTCTGAAGCTCAGCAAAACGTTGTGTCTCGTTTTATCTCATGTACTGGTTTGTTCATGTGAATGTAAATACTTTAGGTAAATTAAACTCTTATACAAAGACTAGTGCTATTTAAAGATAAGGTTGGTTAAATACCAGGCTTTGATCACTCAGGCAATACAATATTGGTGTTTTTTTATTTAAACATATTTCTTATAAAAAAGAGGAAGTCACATTTTTTTTAATTGGCTTACTCTAGGCAGGAAGTAGTATTCTTAAAGTAATTTTTTTCTTGAAGATCCTTGAGTTTAGACATTGGGAAAATACCTGAGAATATTAAATGTTTGTGTGGAAAGGAGTTATTGTCCTATCTAACATTGAATGATGGTTCCTTAAATGTAGCAGGAGCTAAGAAGTCCTAGCTCCTGGTATTCTTTAGAGATGGATGGAATTTGGCTACTGCCTGACTCTCTGTTTGATCACTGACCTGTCGGAGGTGGCCAGGCAGGATCCCCTTGTTCTGTAACTTTAGGAGCATTCAGGACGAAAAAAAGGAGCCTTTAATGTCCTAAATAAAAAGGGCACACAATAATAAGCAAAGAGAATTTTAGAAGTTGCTCTTCCCCGTAAATACTCTCCATTTAAAACAACTCTGCAGTTTCCATTTGAGTAAGTAGATTTTCTAATTTTTGAAAAGGTATATCCATAGGCTGCATCTAGCCTAGTCCTTCAGTTTGTTGCAGGGCCCAGGATATAGCAGGGCTTTTTGGTAGGTCAGGTGGGGATTTTTTTTTTAAGTTACATTTTAAACTTTCTGAAAAGGTATGATTATAGATTTCTGTAAGAATTAACATGTAAAATTATGTGATACTACTCAAGATGTTGGCAATCATAATGGCATGATGCCTGGAAGTTTATTTTCTTCTTAATGAAAGCATTTTGCCTGCACATGCCTCTGGGTGCCAAAGAGATTGGTTGTGGCATGTACTTTCTAGGTACCATCTGTAGGTGGTCTTGTTTTTGCATATGCGCTTGCCCATTTCAAACACAAAGCACATTGGCATCAAAAGTGGTGCCTTGTTATGTAAAGAGATGTAGCCCTTTTCAAACCTGATCTAAACACAGGCTTAAAATTGGAGCCACTTAGGCTTTACAGCTACTTAAAATATCTGTGAAATGAGGTTTGCCGTCATTCATCTCAAAGAGGTAGACAGTGGTCCTTAGCTTTTCAAGTCTTCTCCCTTGCCTTTTTTCCCCCAGTCATTACTTTAAGAAGTAAGAGTTTATTTTCAGGTAAGCAATCCTGTAGGTAGCAGTCAACCCAGGTCCCTTTAGATCTCTGAGTAGAGGGATGGATGATTCCATTCTCTCTCTCTCTCTCTCTCTCTCTCTCTCTCTCTCTCTCTCTCTCTCTCTCTCTCTCTCTCTCTCTCGGCTCACTGCAACCTTTGCCTCCTGGGTTCAAGCAATTCTCCTGCCTTGGCCTCCTGAGTAGTTGGGACTACAGGCCGACAACACCATGCCCAGCTAATGTTTTTTGTATTTTACTAGAGATGGTGTTTAACCATGTTGGGCAGGATGGTCTCCATCTCCTGACCTCACAATCCAACTGCCTCAGACTCCCAAAGTGTTGGGATTACTGGCGTGAGCCACTGCGCCTGGTCATGCATTTTTTAAGTAGCAGCAGCATCTTTTTTTTTTTTTTTTTGCAGGCTTTGGAAAAGTTTTCCCTATAATTGGAGTCAGTCACACACCTTAGAAGGTTGTTGTGAGTTCCGTAGCCTCTTCTGTCCTATTGGGAATACAAAGGGTTTTGTAAGGTTGTGTCACATGAGTGGTTCTTCATCTTAGTTCTTTCAAGCATTGCTAGGTGCTGACTTTTAAGTCCCTGGGGAGCTCACCTTGCTTCATTATTACTGAGAATTAGTACACATGCCTGACTTTTGCACTTGTAACCAAAGCTGCTCATTTCTTTGAACCAGGCTTATTCTGTTTTATGATCTGTTTTCTGCAAAAATGAGGAAAGTACATACACAGGGAGAGCTTTGTCTCATAACTTAATAGTGTTTAGCTAAACAATTTGTTTTGTTGTGTATTTTTTTTAGAAAAATGAAAGTGTTAGTAAATTTGGAGGGGAAAAAAATCATTGTGACTAAAAAGGAATAAAATTTATCACATTTCTCATTTATCGTTTTTGGTATAATAAAGCCTGTAACTGAAGAGATTAATAAATACTCTCCTGTTTCATTGATATAGGTAAAGGGCAAATCTAACTTTATTTTTAAACTCATATTTTGCATGTGAGATTAGTTTTAGTTTAGAGCATTGTTCAAAAATTGGCTTAGTTTTCCGAGCATTTTCATAGATACATACTTTAACAGTGGTGATACAGTCAGCACAGTTTAAGACAACGCGATGCTGAGACTGGGGTTTACAAACTCTAAATCTGAAAGAATTCTCTGTGGGTTGTGTTTTCTCCATAAGGTGGGTTCCTGCATTCTAAATTAGGCTCGTAGTTGTGGGAGTTCTGACGGAGACCTGGACCTTCAGTCTTCCCTGCACGAAATATATGTATACCTTCTGTTTTTTCCATCTTTCCCCTTCTCGGATCAAAAGCTTGGCGCCTTTAGAGGGATGTGATTGAGAATCTCTGTTAGTGACCATGGAAACTCTCAGTAATTGTGGCAGAGGAGAGAGGTTCTGTTACCACTAGCCACTTCCAGTTAGGATCCCAATGATTCTGAAAACTGACATATTATCTCTGAATATGTTGTTTTCATTGCTTTTTTTGCTGCTAGTTTAAAAAAAATGAAAAATAGCATATGTAATGCAATATGATCTGTAGGCTGCAGTGCTTCATTCCATAAAATAAGTGTATGACTTTTATACATCTAGTTGCATCTAGGTTGAAATCTTGAGGAGTCTGGAGTCTTTAGCTTTTGATCCTTTGATCTTTAAAAAAAAATCACCAGGTAAGGAATACAAATGGTGCGATGACAAGTTTTAAGGAAGAAATATAAATATGATGATTAATTTATTTGACATGAAAATAAATCTAATATTACTAAGAAAGAAAGTCACAAAAGTATGAACCTGTCTTTTAAAGCCATATTTAATAAATACTGTTTATACACCAATAGAAAGTAATAATATTGTGTAGTAATTTTTGGAAAGACATTAACATGTTTTAAACTACTGTCCTTTGATAATGGGTCCAGGATATTTTTTAATTGTGATGCACACACGTGTGTGTATGAGTGTGCATGTTTTAAATACATTTGGTGTTTATAGAAGTTTATATTCATTCTGAGTGCATTTTGAGTAAGAAAAATAATTTATATGCTTGTGTCACTGGTTCTGAAAGGGACTGATGAGAATAACACTGTTGGGAAAACGTGGAATGAAGAGTAATCTTATTACCCTCCCCTGTAAATAAGTAGGACCCTAATGCTGTTGCCTGCCTAATTCCCACTATGATGGTGATTCCCATATGCATGATATATTTATGCCAGTTTGTCCAGCCACGTATCAAATACTGTTTTTAAACCAAGTTTTTATTACTCATCTCTTACATTAAATTCAGTTGCAGTTAATTTTTATTTTGAAAAATTTTGAAAAACACAAAGATACAGGCACAAGTGTGCCTACCACTTAGATTGGTGGCAAACTTGACAATGCAGTTGGAGGCCCTCATGTACCTACCCAAATTGCTTTCCACTCCCTTATCTCCCAAGAGAAAACTCTGTCCTGACACTGGTGTTTTTCATTCTAAGCATGTATTTCTACTTTTTAATTACCTATGAATATCCTAAGCAGTATGAATATTTGTTTTTGAATGCTTCATCCTAACCCATGCTATAGGATCAACTCATATGATTCCCAGATTGATGCCTTTGCATTTATCCCCATCAGTGCAACTCATGTGCTTTGCTTGTCAGAAAATGATAGTAAATGGCAGTATTATTTTCAAGTGTTGGAATGTGGCAGATACTGCATATGTCTGTTACAGGTGTGTAGGTTTCTAGATGGACTTATGCTTGGAACAGTGTGTTCATTTAACCAAGTTTTTGGTTACTTGGGTTTCTCCCTAGACGACAGTCATTTCTTCAGTCTTATGATTTAAACATATACACGATACTTAGTAAGTTTTAAAATGTTAACCTTCCCCACTGCCAGCAAATACTCCCTATTTGCCTGTCAGCCTTCCTTCCCCTCCCCAACTTCCTCCCCTGCTCCCATGGTTCTTACCACCTTCAAGCATTCTATATAACTTATTTTTCATGATTTTTGTTTATTTGCTATCCCCTTCATGGTAGAGTGAAAGTTCTCCAAGGGCAGGGATCTTATTCATTGATGTATCCCAGGGACTATGGGCATTGCATGGTAACCTGTAGACTCTGAAAATATTGGTTAAATAAAAGAATTTTCAAGCTAAAATCACTCAAAAGTGATCTTATCAGCCTTCACAG